CGGCCATCTGGCACCGCGCTAGGGTTAGGGTTAGACAGCGAGAGCAACACACCGCGGCGCCGTGGCAACACACGACAACAACACAGGGCGGGGGAGCGAACCGACGCCCCTGGGCGAACCTGCCGGTACTCTCCTCGTCCGCCACCCCGTCTCGCCCCGCCTCCGTGACCAACGGCCTGACGCCGCGCCCCTTCGCCAGAGAGACGAAGGGAGCGGCGCCGACTGGGGATTGAAGCGGAACTTCGGGCCTTGAAGCCACGTCTGTTTCCGCTACTATGGCAGTTCCTGGGCAGTGCAGGGGTCAGCACTGCTGCCTCCCAGCCAGGGGCCCTGGGGTGCTGTGTGTGTGTGTGGAGTCTGCATGTTCTCCCTGTGCTCGTGTGGCATTCCTCCAGGTGCTCTGGTGTCTTCCGCAGTTCAAAGAGATTCAGGTGTGTTCTGGGGAAACTGGCCCAGGCGTGAGTGTGTGTCTGTGTCTGTGTGTGTCCTGCGATGGACTTGTGTCCCATCCCGAGAGTACCCTGCCTTGCTCCCGCTGCTTGCTGGGATAGGCTCCTGGTGCCCCTCCATCCTGTACCGGAAGGGGTGGTGAGGTCATGGACAGATGACAGTTTGTTCCTTAATGCTACAGATGCCCTTCTGATGGGATGGGAAAGGGAACGGGTGTTTGAGAGAGGGGTCGGGGCAGAAGTTGTTTCAAGGAGATGAAGACGCAGGTTTGTGGGTTTATGATCATAACAACCTGTATTTACAGTGCAGGTCGCGACAGTACACATAGTGCCACAAATACCCTGCCCTCCCTACCCCCCGTTCATGGGTAATGGAACAGTCCAGGGTCAACGAAAGGTCACTGCCCACTTATTTTTGGGAGGGGAGAGGGCAATTTTAATTTAAAGAAAGCAAATCTTCAAAACTCTGAATGGATTCAAATAAAAAAAAAAGAATCAGCACTAGAAGAAATCATTACTAACATTAAATTAAAGGGGATACGTTTTTTTAAATCTCCGATTTCAGGATTCGGTGATAAAAGAGCGTTGCTGGTCATGGCAACCTCCCCTAGTGTGTCCCCGGAGTGACGGCGATACATCTATCCCTGGTATCAACCCGTCCCTCAGAAGTCATGCTTATTGGTACCCCCCATCAACTTCGTAAAGCCAGTCCTGTAACCCTGTCTGTAGATGGCTCTGTACTTGAGCTTCAATCAAAATTGAAAAACCTTGGGGGTTATATTCGATTCTGGCTTAACATTCGACCCACATGTACAGCATACTGTCAAAACATCTTTTTTTCACCTTAGAAATATCGCAAGACTCCGCCCTATGCTATCATTAACTCTGGCTGAAAAGCTGATCAAAATATTTGTATTCCCCAAGGATATTAGAGAGTCACCTTCTCTACACTCCTTCAAATCCAGACTCAAAACCCTCTTCTTCAGAAAAGCCTTTACTGAACTGGTTCCATTCTTCACCCCTCTGCTCTTCTTAGTACCACCTTCCACGGTCTCC